TTGGGTCAACTATCCCTTTAAGGAAAATTGTTTTGGGGTAAAAAAATAATTTCCATATGAACCCCAACTGACATATTTCCCAGATGCAACATTATGTCAACATTTGAAATGTTGGCATTATGACTGAATTTAAGCTCTAGAACCACTAAATATTAGAGAGTCAAACATGCCGAACATCAAGCAGAATAACAGATGACTGATAATCGGTGAAGTCTGGCAACCTTCTTTAATGGCAGGGGCCAGATATTTATAGTGCCAGATATTTACCCACTGTGAGCAAATCATAGGGTTTAACTGCGTCATCTGCGGCACAAACTATTCATGATATATCTGGAATTATTTTGCTGGCAAGGACTGTGCATTAAGACAAGGATATAGTTTGTAAATTCAATTCATTTTGTGAATCAGTTCAAGCTGTAAAATAAATGAATCAACTAAAAACTTGATTCAACAATTAATGTAAATATGCGTTATGCGTATATGTGGTATTTTTCACATGCTTCAAACACTTGTTAAAAAAAAATATGTGCAGGTAAGTATTGATGTTTATTAGTGCATTGTTAATTAAGTTCATTGGTTAGATGAAAATGATAAAATATAATCATTCCTTGTGTTATTTACTTGAAAATTGTGTGGGAAAATATGCCTTGATTATTTTTTAACTATCTTGTTACTGTATTTTTTTCACTTTTGGCATTATAAATCTACTTGCCTTTATGACTGTTTGGTAGAAACTGTGGTTTCTCTGTTTGAAGAAAACCACTTTAAACGGTTTCAAAGCAAATTCATATCCGCAACGTAATTATCTGTAAATTGCTGCCATCTAATACACTTTACTGACATCTTGCTTTACACAAAGAGTCCTATGACCGGTACCACACTGATGTCTCCTGTACACACCATGACTCCCACTTCATGCATAGAGATTGAAACTATTACAGGGCTCAACATAAAAAAAAATCCCCACTGGCCCCCAGGGCCAGTAGATCAGAGTTTTGCTGGCCCCTTCTATATTTTTACTGGCCCTGAAAGAAATAGAATCAAAAGCACTTTTCCATTAAACTGTATTTATTGTATACATTAGGATTCATTTTTCTTGTCCCCTCACAATGACAGTAAACTAATTATTACATTACATGAGTGATGAGTTACATAGGCTATATTTTCACTTCAAAATGGCGAAATTAGACAAAAGTATATTAGTTTGCCTGATTATTTTTGTCATACGTTTAACATTTATGACCTAAAAAACTGTCAATGAAGAAAAAATGAAGAACGCGCTGAATCTGATTATAACAAGACTGAAGCGAACACAAATTTGGTGTAGCTTACACTTAATCACACATTTTTAGGGGGGCTAGGCAGAAGTTTAGGGGGGAATTTGATTACACTATTTTTAGATAGCACTCGGCAGGCCGGTTATGCATTTTGCATTTTGGTCGGCTTTTGTTGTAAATTTCCGGCAAACGAAACAGTACATGCCCTCATCGCCTTTCTCCACCCAGGTGTACTGCGTTTTCCATGACACTAGGAATTAGGACTGGGCGATATGGCCAAAAAATCATATCTCGGTATTTTTTGGTTAAATGGCGATATACGATATATATCTCGGTACTTTCTACGTTTTTCTATTTGGATAAAGAAAATCTGTATTTATTTAAAAAATATATATATTTCACATCCTGCTTAATGATATCCAAACCATGTTGATATTGAAGGATATGGAAACAAATATAGTGAATGTAATGTAGGCTATGCAATATATTACGTGCAAAAAGGTGGTTAAAATCACATTACATTCTAACATTACAATCTAAAAACAAAAATAATGCTTTTGTTTTTAAAATGACTAAGGCTAAACTAAAAATGAAAATAAAAACAAAAGCACAACTAATTATATTAGCCTGCATTTGATTACCCCGTTATAATGCTCACTTTCATAAAAACATAGGCCTACTTGTAGGTTTAAAATTCCACATATGGCACATTTATTGTCTCCAACAACAAATATTTTAGCAAGATGTATATTTTAGTCAGAATTATTGCGCTACTCTTCTATTGTGCCCGTCTGTTAGGCGCGCGTGCTCGCGGCAGCGCTCGTTCACGGAAGCTTTAATTTTAGCGGAGATTCACTTGCAGAAGCTTGTCCTCTCCTGACAGTGAAATGGACATATTTGTTTGACTTTCTAACATTTACAGATGGAGAATATACCTGTAAAATGTAAGTTAAGCACTGAGGAAAGCACCACGTCTCAAACGCATTAAACAGCGCAAGTATTTATCTGTCAGTCAGCAACAGTATCTGTCAGAGCATCTGACAGGGCAAGCTGCTTTAAACTTGTTAACTATATCTTACCAGTTATTTTGAAGTGCTTAATATAAGCTTGTGTCATGTTTAGGACAAATTGTACTATGTTTTTTTCACTGCAGGAGCTCACACTGCGTACTCCGCTATTTTTCAGATGTGCTCGTATCAAACTACTGTATCGATATAAACAGTAGCCTATATTGCCTCATTCCATATCGTTTAAAAAAAATCGATATATTGTACAAACTCGATTTACCGCCCAGCCCTATAGGAATGCCCTCTTTCTCGTATCAGCCTCGTAGTTCTTTTGACATTTTAACACGTTATTATAACCTGAAGTAACATTGACACTCTTCGCGCCACTGTATATGACGTTTGCTGTTTGTTTTGCTGATGGCCATTCACTGGCCCGCGCGGGCCAGTGACTGGCCAATCAACTAGCCCGACATACTCTTTTACTGGCCCCGGGCCATCGGGCTATTGCTTATGTCGAGCCCTGCTATTATATGAGAGATTATGGCTACTGATAATATATGACACATTCAACACTGTTGGGCAAAACACTCTTACAACATCACTTTTGATTGATAGGGATGCTCCCTGACAAATCTTGCACAACCAAGACCAACAAACTATGGCTTTCAAGAATTAGTTAATTAATTGCGCAAAAAAACCCCAATCAAATATGTAGGTTTTAATAAAGAATATTATAATCAAAAAACAAATAAATTGCCAAAAAAAATTCTGGAAGAACGTATGTATAAAATAATTAACAAAATAAAAAAAGCAGTGAAAGTGAACGCTGACTGATGATGTCAGTCCCTAACATCTCCTTGTCAGGAAAACAAATTTCTGCTGTAAATATACTGTGATTTCTGGCACATATAAAGGTTTCTTACACCAAATGATGGAAGGCAAATTTGAAGTAACGTTAACTTAGTCAAAAGATGTGATCAAGGATATTATAAAAACTGTCCCTCTTACACCAAATGATGGAAGGCAAATTTGAAGTAACGTTAACTTAGTCAAAAGATGTGATCAAGGATATTATAAAAACTGTCCCGGTCTCCCCAACTTCTGAGGAAAAATAGTGCTAACTTATTGAGTTATTTGGCGTTAGGTATTTGAAAAACAAAACAAAACTGCAGCTGTCTCTTAGAAACCATTATTTGAATAAACTTCACGCTTTCTGTGCCACTTTACATGTGAAATTTGCAAATTAAATTACGGCTATTCTTCTTACGGTCTTGTCAGATAAAATCAAAACATTGCCTTTGTTGCGGATACTGACAGACTGAAGGAGCTGCTGTCACGTCAATCATTCTGATGATTGACACTTACTGACTCTAACGGTCGAGTCTCGAGCCCTCACTAGTGGGTTTCGCGGGTTTCATTCTTTTAAAGCGCATCGCTGTGATGATGAGGCCTACGGCAGCTTATTCATTTCTGCGGAAACGACTGTCTACCTTCGGTCAGCTTTGTTGACTGTAGCTCAGTTGAGCTAAACGATTTACTGTCTCTCTATGGGGTCTTAGACCATAATAAAAGGTAAAAGCTGGGTCTTTCCTACAGCTCGGGAAAGATAACGGTTCTGTCGTAAGGTCTGAATCGTACCTGCCGTAGATCCCCTCGGTGATTCGGTTCCGTTTTAAGGGCCGTCGGAGCTTGCTGCAGTCCGCATTGCGCCGCTTCATCCTCGCCCCCTTAAATCGGGCTTTTTAATACGTACAGCAGTATGGTCCAGGTCTTAATCGGATGGGAAACATTGGTAGTCCCTCAAAGGAATATACCGCGGTGGTTGTTTTTTTTCCAGCTGGAAACAAAGAAATAAATAAAAAGACTGAGTGGAAGACCCTCCTCCTTCTCTCGCGCAGACGCACAGACACGGGCCTAGACAGAAGTGACTGACAGACTGCCGAGCCAATAAGAGTCGCGCCTGTCGGCTGTCATTTTGAATGACAAGACAAATAGCCAATAGGCAGCGGTCTGGTTTGTGGTGGTACCAAAGAAAGGGAAAAGGGCGGCTGACCTGTTTAGTGTAGTGTAGTGGTCGCTGACCAATAGGATAGATTCAGGCGGGACTCTCTGTACGTATTTTTCGTATGATATGTGAGAGATGCGAATTCCACATAAACTTACTTTACGTTGGTAGGCAGATGTAAATTGTACATTGTGTGACTGTCAAACGCTGAAGTGACAAACAAAGCCCCACAAACAAGTTAATACATTATACATATATTATATTATACATATAGATCACCTTTTTTTTTTTTTTTTTTTTTTTTTACAATATGCAGTATGCAATATGCATTTTAAGCTCCCCCAACACATTTCTTAATATACTGGATACAATGTTAAAATAATCATTACCAAAGAAGCAAATTAATTAGCCTCATTTTATCTCAATTAAGTAAGTAACAATTTCGCTACTTTAGTTATAGAGGAAAAAAAAGATAGAATTTAGGTGCTGTAGAACAGAAATAACCCAAACTTTTTATATTATTTGCATCATTTTCTTTGCCGGCTTTTGATAATGTTGCTAATAGGTCCTACTTTACAAACAAACACTGTCCATGGCATACACACACACACACAGACACACAACATGCTGATTAATTGCACAAGGAGGCATTTTTGGGAAACACCTCCATTCCTCTTACACGTGATCTTGCGTACTCTTCATCTCTGGCCGGTGAAGATTAAAGAGAGTCAGAGTTTGTCACAGTAATAATGGCTCCTCAGTACGCCCCCAGTCTCCGCTCAAGACTTCCTCTCGTGGCCTTCCTGCTGGAAACCATCTTTATCCTACTGTTTGTCTTTTTTGTGAAAATAGAGCAGCATGAGTCTGACAGTAAGCTTTTCATCCGCTCATATGCAGGTTAGTAAGTCTGATTTACATTTAAGCTGTGCTATGATTCTCAAGAGTTCAAACTTGCATTCATTGTTCAGCTTAAGGATAAACCTGAGGTTATTTATGAACAGCATCACATCATCTTTTGTAAACCTGCTATGTTATTTTCATATGTTAATGCATGCTAATGCAACAAAAGACTAGTCACATATTCAGCTCAGAAATTAATTCCTGGGCTTTTTTTTTAGAACCTTTAACATATCAAAACCAATTGCAAAATTCCTATCCACATGAACGTACTTAAAATGAATATAATTACATGGTTTTGTTTGTAAATGTGTGGCACATTGCCGTTGGGGTGTGGAGCCACAGCATCTCTGGTTTTGGATGATAAGAAGCATTTCTCTATCCCACAAGCAATTAAAAGACTGACCGCCAAGTTTTTGAAGTTTATATCGCTTTTCATAAAATTACACATTGGCAATATTGGAAATGCAATCTTTTCAACAGAATTCCAAGATATTCATGTGATGATATTCATGGGGTTTGGATTCCTGGCCACGTTCCTTGTACGATATGGTTTCAGTGGATCAGGGTTTAACATGCTGTTAGCAGCCATGGCCATCCAGTGGGCCGTCTTGATGAATGGCTTCCTGCTGCCACAACGCCACCACAGAAGAGAGATCCACATCAGTATGAAGAGGTACAGCTACATTACAGGTCTAAGCAGATGCTTTCTTACAAAAGCAACCCACAATGTGTAAATGTTAACGGCAATACACTGACACCCGAGTAAGCCATTAGATTGAATATGAAACATTATAATTAAAAAAAAAGTCAAAACATTTGCTCTGGTACATTTACTCTGGAAAACCTAATGCATTTGTTTTAAAAAAACAACAACTGATTTTCATAATCATGACTAGGGCTTAGCTTTACTTTTGTTAATATTTTTTCATACTTCAGGTACAAAAGCTCTCACTGGAATAAAAAGGTTCTAATATGTTTTGGTATGTGGTACTAATGGGTACTAATATGCACTCTTTAGGTACAAAGGTGTACCTTTTGAAAGGGTATACCGCCCCAGTGACAGCTTTTGTACCTTTTTTTCTGAGAGTAGGTTTGACAGCACCACTACATCAAATGTTATTTGTGCTCCTCATGTAGTGTGATTGAGGCAGAGCTCTGTGCAGCATCCGCTCTGGTTGCAATGGGAGCAGTCCATGGGAAGACAAATCCTGTCCAGCTTTTACTAATGGCTCTGGTGGAGGTCACTGGATTTGTGATCAATCAGTGGATCCTGCGAACTCTGCTCCATGTAAGAGAAGTATTACTTTCCCTGATAAAAATGATCACTTTCATCCTATATACTGTCAAATCGTTTAATCGCGATTATTCGCATCTAACATAAAAGTTCGTAAAATGTATGTCTGTGTGCACACATATATATTTACAAACTTTTATGTTTAGCTGCGATTAATCACGATTAATCGATTTGACAGCACTAATTTTAATCCTATTATCCACATTTCAAGGTACATTGAATGCCAGTTTCACCACAGGAGAATGATTTCAATGAAGAATGATTCATTCAGATTAATTTGTTTAATGGTTTGTTCCCAAATGAATTGTTCCTGAATCAGTGGATCTTGAAAATTCCCAGTATTACATTCCCAGATATAAATAAATTTTCAAAATTTGCCATGTCCTCATTGCAAGCCAGTTACAATAAAGAAGTTTAACATAAAAACTTGCTATATGTTTTCTGCTATCTGGCAAATTCAAAATGCAGAAACATTTACAGACAGACAACTGTTCTGGTCTTTTAACTTTTTATTGCAAAACTTTGAAAATGTATTATTATTATAATGTGATATTGTTGGGAATATCATTGACAAAAAAAATGTAATAAAAAGATTTGCATACAAATTTGTAGAAGTAAGCAGTGTTTTTTTAAATATCAGGAAATTTCAGTCAAACCAGCTTGCAAAACATGGTATCTGTGAATTACTGAATACTTTTGTAAGACATTACACATAAGAATGAACAGTACTCTCAAATTGATTAATCACAATGAACCGCATCTAACATAAAAGTTTGTAAATGTATATATATTCACAAACTTTTATGTTATACTATAACATGTATAACATATATGTATATAACCATAGCCTATGTGTAATATAACATACAGGTATTTATGTTATACTGTATGTTATACATATTTACAAACTTTTATTTTAGATGCAATTGATTGCGATTAATCAATTTGACAGCACTAATGAACATACTATTTTATTTAGACAGATTGAGTATTTTCATTCTGTACTAAGGCAACGATGTGTTAATGTTTCAGGCAGATCCACTGTACAGCATCATGATGCTTCATATCTTCGGGGCTCTTTTTGGTGTGATGGTGTCATGGGTGCTGTACAGAGAGGGAATCAATCCAAAACATGAGAAAGAAAAAATTGACCGTAGCACTGGCTTATTCGCAATGTTTGGTGAGTACAATAACTAACAGTTATCTCTCAGACTCAGAAAATACCTCTAAACCAGGTTTCAGACTCTAACCATGACAGCACATCAGATGAGTTAGTGAGCTTCAAGTGATTCTTTAAAGATAACCGAGTGAATATTCAATGGCACCTGTGCTTATTTCATGCAATTAAAATATATATTTTAAGCTAATTTACTGCTTTAAATCACTCCATCGGATGCCTTTCTTTCTTCCCACAAAGCAAAAAGCATTTTATAAAGCAAAAAGAGTTTTATATAGATCAATATCACTCGAGCAAGAGTGTGTTATGGCCACAGATTATTTATCATTTGTGTGATTACAGAAAATGTAACCACAACACTATATATATATATATGCAGGCTCTGCAAAAGTGTGCATCGAGGGCCATTAGGGACAGGGCCACATTGGCCGTGTCTGAAATCGCCCCCTATACCCTCATTCACTATTACACCATACACCACTAATATAGTCCACTTGAAGAAGTGAATGAAAACGAGTAAGTGAATTCGGACACTGAGTGCACCACCGGAAGGGCTGCCGCTTTTGCATAGTTTGTGCTTGCTGTTTAATAATCATTTGAAACTTATTGCAAACTGGCAGCTCCAGTTATGATGAATAGATTTATCTTGAACTCTGTCAAGGAAACCTGCATGAATAAACATTTTTAAACAATTTAATAATCAATTCAAAAGGAATATGCATGATATTATACGCTATAGCCACGTTGGAACTGGATGGATGGATGATTCAGCTTTTTTGGCGAGATGCGGAAATTCATTTAGCAGACTCTCACAGTGCATTATGGGTATTCTCTAGCCGTTCAGCGTAGGTCAGTTGTACACTCGTTATTGCGGTGGATTGTGGGATTGAATAAGTGCACTCAATAATGTCCACTATGGTTTTGGACACCTGTTCCCTAGTGCCCTATTTAAGAGTATAGGAGACGATTTCAGACACAGCCTATGTGTAAACCATAATTAAACAATTTAATAATCAATTAAGAAGGAATTTATACGTGTAGCCTATAATATTACGCTGTAGCCACATTGGACCAGCGGTTTGGAAAATGGATGGATGGATGATTCTTCTGCGGGCGCCATTTTCTGGTCAGACACAGGAATTTATTAACCGCACGACTCTCACAGTGCATTGTGGGTATTCTCCAGTCTCTGAGCGTACATCAGTTATACACTCGTTATTGCAGTAGTCTATATAATGGGATTAAAAGAGAGCATTTGATAACATCCACCATGGTTTCGGACACCACTACAAATGTCTGTCCCTTCAAATAGTGCCCTATTTCGGACACAGCCAGTCACTTCTTTCGATCCTAAATGAATCATGAAAGTTGTGAACGAATCGGTTCAATAGGCTCAATGAATGATTCAGTGAGTCATTTACAAAGACAGTCATTTGTCGCCACCTACTGGTGTAACTGTGTAACCTGCAGAAAGAGTCACTGAAAATCCCCAACACTGACAGTCGAAACAGTGAAAAGTCCCAGTGCTCGCAGCCCCTTTAAACGATGCTCACCCAATCAGATTCAAGGACCGAAGTGTAATTATGTGATCTCTATATTTTAATTAAATCATGCAACTGCCTCCCTTTCTCTCTTTCTCACAGGAACACTGTTTCTGTGGATGTTCTGGCCCAGTTTTAACTCGGCGCTGGTGTCTCACATGGAGAGAGAACTGAAACTCACTGTGATATATGGGACGTATCTGTCTCTGGCCGTCAGTGTTGTCATGGCGATGTCTGTTTCTATGCTCACCAGCTCCAAAGGAAAGATGAACATGGTGAGCGACTGTATAGGAAGAACATTCTCACATAGCAAGAGTTGAAAATAATCATAACATAATACTCTGAAATCTGACACATCATGAAAGTATAATGGGTTGTTCACGTTGACTTTGTTAGGATCCAGTTTTTCAGATAATGGACACATCATGAAGAGTATCATGTTTTACAGGTTCATATACAGAGCTCTGCCCTGTCTGGTGGTGTTGCTATCGGAGTTGCCATGACGGCAGTCCACGAGCCATGGATTGCAATGATGATTGGCTTCTGTGCCTCTCTCGTATCAGCCCTGGGATTCCAGTACATGAAGGTCAAGCCACATCCATCACAAAATGGAAAACTCAAATTTCCCACCATAAGTCAGGGTCGTTAACTAAAACTAAAACCATAAAACATTAAACATGAATTGAAATAAAACATTATTTCAGTATTTGTCTTTTTTTTTTAAAGTTGAAGTACTAAAATAACTATAACTTAAAGTGCTAGATTCTCTGTTTTTCACTTTCATTCAGGATCACATGTTGTTTGCTTTTGAGTGCCATGACACCTGCGGCGTCCTCAATGTGCACGCCATACCGGGAATCCTGGGATGGTTCGCTCATTTATTTATACGGCTGGCCAGTAGTGAAAGCACAATGTAAAGTGATTTTCACTTTTAGTCAATCATATGACGTGTGCATCCAATAAATTGCATTAAATAAACCATAGAATAACAGTGAAAGCAATGACTAAATGTCTGAGCTTTAGATGTTTTTCAGATCTGTGTTGTATTTGTGTTCTCAGAGCTGTGCGGTTTGCTGTGTATCACATCTGTGTTCTCCTCATAACAGTGTGCATGAGTCTGGTGATGGGAACGGCTACAGGTACACCACTGATGAAGATCATTAGACAGACATATTTCATTTTCTTGTGTTATGATTAAAATCAGCAAAGCACCGTAGGCTGTTTTAAACAGTTTTCCCTGTGCATACAGTAGGCTATAATCATATGCATTTCTGTCTGTGAGCTTATTTGTAATAGATTCAGAATCTTTCTAAAAAAAAATTTTTTTTAAGTAACACTGATGATGCACTTTAGACATTCTACTTAAGTAACTTTGCAACTACATGTCAACTAACTCTCATTAGAGTATTAGTAGACTCTGTTTAATATCTGCTAACTCTTTATTCTGATGCTCCTCAACAGACATTGCTGACTATAAGTAACTTTGCAAGTTCACGTAAACTTATTCTACTAACCCTGACCTTACCTAACAGTTCACTAATACTCTAATGAGAGTTAGTTGACATGTAGTTCCAAAGTTATAGTTTGTAGAATGTCTACTTTTGGACCATCAAAATAAAGTGTTGTGTTTTTGCATAACCCTTACTGATAAGTTTTGTGTTTTAGTTTACTGAGGCAGACTAAACATACAACTTAAGTTAAGTCAAGTCAAGTCAAGTCATCTTCATTTATATAGCGCTTTTAACAATGAATTGTTTCAAAGCAGCTTTACAGAGATAAACATATAATTTAAGGTAACAGATTGTTTTGGCGTTATAGCGGTTCTTGAATAATGTTACTTCCAGCTAAAGTTAACTTTGATTGATTCACCTCCGTCGAAATGATCAGACTTTAAACGCGAACCTGTGATTAACGCTGACGGCGTTCACATGCTCATTCAGAATTCTATAGTTATGTGCTTTTTAAAATATGTGCGCAGGTTTGTAATTCATACAACCCAGCCTAAACAAACTACTTTTCTTGCCTATAAATTTTGATACAGAAACAAGTTAAAATTTGCAGGACTTTTCCTTAAATGGAGTTTGTGGAGACCCCAGCAGGACAGGAAGTGCTTTGATGACCAGGCATTCTGGGAGGTAAATGGTTTTGTTCATTCACAATATAAATACGGTGTCCACCATGACTAAACGCTAATCCTTACTCTTGCTGTGTTTGCATTCATCTTTTATCATTTAAAGTGGAATTAATGACATGCTTTTTTTTTTTTTTTTTATTAAACCTTAACTTATATTTCCAAACATGTTTATGATTGCTAATTATGTATTTCCTTCTCTTGTAGTTTCCAAATTTGGTGGTACATGTTTGAAGAACTTGTGGACACATCTAAAAGAGAACTCCAGGCATAAATGCAATTAACACAAAATCTATATGTTTGAGAAGTCACAGGTTGCTTAAGTAAACAATTTACAATATAAAATGTCCTTAAATAGACATCTGTATGTTTTATAACTGACAAATCATACAAAACAACAACGGCAAAGAATTTCCCAAGCCCGTGGCTGGCTTAAATTACACACAGAGCAGAGTTTGTTTCATGACGATGGTAAGCTGATATACCACACCACCAACTAATTTAATATATATAAAAATAACCTGATGGCAGTCAGTGCATTGATTGCAGTCCATAAACCCATTATTCATCTGTATTTGAACATAGTGAAAGAAAAAAACACTGGCTCTGTACATATTTACAATAATTTTATTCATTTGAAACCCACAGTTGAATGAAGTTTAGCTACTTTTTGTCAGAAAGAGAGACATGGATTACATTAAAATGTTACATTCTTTTAGCATGTAGAAATCACAGAATCTCTAATTTGTCAGTTGATAGACGAGTCAAAATCTCTGACTGGCGTCACCTTATTCTCCCATAACCACTGAAATAATAAGAAATTGTGCTTTTTTTAAAAACATTACCATTTTTATACAACTCCCACATGCCCAAGCATACACATAGAGAGTGACCTTAATGCTCCAGAACACACAAAATATATAACCAGGGTTCCCACAGTCGAGGAAAATATGCTGTTTGGTTTTACTAGTTGCACAGAAATTAAACACTTCTTTAAAAAAAAAAGTTGACAGTGAAATTGTACATGTTTCTGGTAAAGCTCAGCTCTAAGAAACTGCTCTTGCTCAGTGCAATCTCTGTAAAATAATTTTAAAAAATCTGTAATAATGAATGACTGAAAAAGGTATGGGAAGTCATATAACATAATATATAAAAATCTTCCAAAAGTAAAACATTGAATAAAGCGCTGTTGTAGTGATGTCAACTGACTAAAGGTTTAGCTGACAGTACGCTGGTCTGACTGAACGTGAAATTTCGAGAGATTATGCATGAAAGTGATCCGACAGATACAAATTCAGTAGCTTATGTAAAAAAAAGCAAACCTATTCAAATGACGACACATTAAAAATAGAAACACAGTGAATCACTCATTTTGGTTTATAAACGATTCTGCTCAAAAACTCTCCCTGCTGCTGTCGCATATGATCACGTTACTATATTTTGCGAATCAATGTTTTCTTTCCTTTTGAGATCTCTGGAAAAGCCAGGCTGAAGATATTAGCTCTTATTGTGCACTTTTAATATGAGAATTCTACAATTGATGTTATGTCATTGTAGTTCTATTGCATATATGTCATTTTTTAATGCAGAGTGAGGTCAAAACGTGTCCATTTTGACTGAAGAGTCTGGATTTGATTTGCATTTCTTGTGTGCACCCATTGTGGCCACACAGGAAACAAGACAAAGAAAGGAAGAAGGAATATATTTAAGACCGGGAGTCGTCTGAGGGGTTGAAAAGAGGAGAGAAAGAAATAGCGAGTGCAAATAAGCAGCAATAAGTACAGAGGAATTGTTTGTTGATGGACTGTGGGATTTGATTGAAGGAAACGAAGCTTCACTGCCAGAGGTCCTCAGTTCGGCCAAACTTGAACACCAGACCACTGCAAAGAGTGAAGGACAATCACAAATCAGAGCTCAATCTAATTAGCATATTGTTTTCAGAATTTGCAGAGTAATTTATTATAATTTCCATGAATGCTCAAAATCTTAGATCTCTGGCGCAGGTAATTACAGGCCGGGCCGATAGTTAATATATTCATGAATGATATGTTCAAAATTATTTTAATGCACTTTTAACGGGGCATTAGGCTTCCTAAAAAGTATTCTGAAGGTCCTTTAAATGTCTTGCGACTAACAATTAATTATCTCAAAATGGCAATTACATACAGTAAATTGTTTAGTAAAAATATAGGTAATAAAACTACAATATAAGTATAATATTGCACATAATTTATTAAATATCCCTGTGCCCATTTGGTGAAAACATGGTAGAAAAACAAGTTCATTATTGAACTAGATTTTTTTTTTTTACTGTATTTACTTCTTGCATTAAACACTCTGAATTTATTTATTTAAAGAAATTTCCACTTTTATTCAGCAAGGCCGCATTTAATTGATCAAAGGTCGCAGTAAAGACATTTATAATGATACAAAAGATTTCTATTTTAAATAAATGCTGTTGTGTTTAACTTGCTACTCAGTGAAGAATCATGAAAATATTAAGCATCAATTGTTTTCAACATTGATAATAATAATAAATGTTTCTTGAGCAGCAAATCATCATATTAGAATGATTTCTGAAGGATCATGTGACACTGAAGACTGGAGTAATGATGCGCAAAATTCAGCTTTGATCACAGGAATAAATTACATTATTTAACAATATTAATTTTTACTGTATTTTTGCTCAAATAAATGCAGCCTTGGTGAACAATAAAGACCTCTTTCGAAAACATTTTTAAAAATCTTACCAACCCCAAACTTTTGTAGAGTTTACATATAGTGTTCATATATATATATATATATATATATATATATATATATTTGACTATTTATATTATATTTGAGTATATTGTTATATTTTTGACAATGTTTATATTGTCAAAATACTAAGGTAAGAAAAAATGGCCAATAAAATGATATCACCCTGGCCTACAGGTAATGCAGTGACATATCAAACCTGTTCTGATGTGAGATTCTGTTCTCTCTATTTCCAAACTTACCCAAAGAAGATGAATGCATTTTGGAAGAAAACTGCAATACCAGGATACACTGACAGATCCTTCTTGTCTGTTCATTCATAAAAAAATAAAAACTTAATTAGAAACTATATACAAGCAGAAACCTGAAACATCTTTTTCTCTAAAAAGAAAAAAAACAAAGCAAAATCAATCTCATCTCTTACCGGTCACAACAAAACCACCAAACAGAATCCACATAGAGGCGATGAGAGACCCGAACGCCAACATGAACCCGATGAAGAGCCAAACTCTGGCACCTACACAGACACACATTACATTTACATTTCATCGTTTAACAGACCCTTTTAACCAAAGCGACTTACAAATGAGGAGAGCAATAGAAGCAATTAAAGAACAATAGGACAACAATATGCAAGGGCTGTGACACTTCCCAGTTTAGTCTAACGCGTCGCAGTATATGCAATTTTTTACTTTTAGAATTTAAAAAGGGTGTGTTCACACTTGGCATGTTTGGTGCGATTGCTCTGTTAGTGTGGTTCATTTGAATAAGTGTGAACGCTGCCATCTGAACCCTGGTGTGCACCAAACAAGAGGACCGAGACCGCTGAAAAGATGAGTCTAGATCCGCTTCCAAACTAACTCTGCTGCGGTTCGACTGAAATATGAACGTAACACAGACCAAAGACATGTAAACGAACCAAAAACAGGACATGATGTCACAAGATGCGACCCTAAAAAGGACAGAATGCTCACGCATTTTTCTCATCATAGACGTGATTTTGCCCATCACAGTTCGGTACAGGCGTCAGAACCGCATCTCCTCGCAGCAGATCTTCATCTGTGTGTGTGACGGAGGGATTCCTGCCGCTGTTTTGACTCCTTTACACATGTTATAATCTCTCCACGGGTTCTCAGCTGGTCAAAATACCATCACATGTAGGCTACGCACATACGACAAGCGCATTTAGCCCAGAACACAGCATTGGTTTTGATGTTTGTTAAGGTCTGTTGCAAAATACTTTTTTTTTTTTTATCTTTAGGTCCCATCTTAAAAATGACAGTGTGAACACCAAGCGAACCAGGAATAAATGTATTATTTTCTTTTTTTTGGTCCAGACCAAAAGAACCAAGAGAAGAACACCCTAAAGGCACTTTTCAGTCATGTAGTATTACAATAACGTCAAAAAAAAATCATGATGTGAATGCAGCACTTACCAGTCTGTCCCAAGCAGCCCTCGCTGTAGCTGTCTCCCCTCACCTGGCCATTTGACACTGCGTTGATCCTGCATTCAAACAAAGACCCTTTAAGGCAAGTCATTCCACTGGACGGCCATCTCTGAAACTCCTCTCGGGCAGCTTCAGTATTTCAGTTCTCTTTAATGGGGAAACATCTCTAAAGCTGTTCACCAAGCTTATTATTAAATTTCACATTTAAAATCACCAATGAAATCTGACAACAACAGTCTCAAATCCTGACAAAAAAAACTGCATTTGAAGTCATAAGCGCGTGTCTCAAAGCACTTTCCCCCATTCATTGTCATATAAGTGCACCGTCTATCTAAAGTCTTTGAAATCCACAGAAAGTGAAACTCAACAGGGAATTGAACAATGCAGTCATGGTGACGGTAGTCATTGCACAACCCTGCAGTTAAATCAAGGCTAAACAACAGGAAGAAACAATTGGGACAGTCTGTCTGGCTGGACACATTAAAAACAAGTGCTCCGTTCCCTTCGTTAGAGGAAGCACCAATGAGTGCCGAGAGAGAATCTGTACAGGTGTAACTCACATGAGGAAGGCTATAGTCGCTATAACCCCACAGGTGTGATATGCGTGGTGGAACTCATCCTCTTTAGGGTACATTATCGCTGCATCGATGATGATCCACCAGCCTGTGAAAAACTGCACGTGTGCACAGTGTAAGAAGAAAGATCATTAGTTTGAGAATCACTGGATTTATGAGATAAAGTGCAGAGGACAATTTATTTGATGTCATCAGGCAGACGTACCAGAACTCCGGCTGCGATGGAGGCGATGGTGTTTCTCTTCTCACCCCAATCCACATTACACTCGCAATCGCCACATCTGATCCCATCCAGAAACCCCGACATGCTGCTGATTTCACCTGATCATTCAAAGAAATACGGTTCTTTTGAGATGTTATGCTAGTTTTCATAGTACAGATACTTATTCATATTGCGTAATGAACAGGGCCTTAATAAAATTATTAAAATTTTATAATAAAAGCCAGCTTAGGCTTTTATCCAAAGTGAATAACTTTAAATAACATGAATTACAGTGACAATCTTGAACAGATATAAATAGATATTTAATTTCAAAACACCATCCCCCATATCTATCTATCTATCTATCTGCTGCTGCTTGTGCTTTTAGTTATATATTATATATGAAAACGTTTTTTTTGCTGCTTCGTATTTTTATGGAAACCACGATGCAGTAGCATTCAAAAGTTCGGGGTAAATAAACCAAATTATTAGTTTTATTCAGGAAGGTTGCATTAAATTCATCAAACGTGCCAGTAAAGACATCTATGTTACAAAAGATTATAATTCAAATTCATGCTGTTCATTTCAACTTCCTATTTAGTAATAAATTACATTTTAAAAATATTGAAATAGAAAACATAACATATGTAATAATATTTCACAATGGTGACTGTATGCTTGTTGACTGGTGAGCATGATATACTTATTTCAAAAACATTTTTAAAAACACAGGGGGAAGTGAGTGTTCACAAACTCATTTTAGCAGCAATCATAATAAATGTAATAAATTCCACAGTTACTGCGCAAATGCGGCGCAGCATCACTGACTGCGCACACGCAGAGCACACATGATCATCCCGAAACCAAACATAAATAGCACACAAAAGGATTTCCATTTTGTCATGTTTGCGACCAAAATCTGAATATTAACATAAGCGACATTTAACACAATTGTTCAAAACTACGTTTCCGCTCATTTTCGGACGAAGCCGTCGAGTGTTAATGCTGTAAATGCGTTTGATCTTTTATGTCCGGATGATTTCTAACCCATATTTGCTACATCACTGTTAATATAAAGTATCGCGGATAAATACAAGCAGTGTTGGAGAATAACTCATGAATGATCACAATAACTCACGCTCTATAGCACAATACATTCTTACCTGCACTTTTCTTGAGTGTTTCTTGTGGTTCGCAGTAAGTGGAGATAGACTCCGCAGTCTTCCGTCTCAAACAGTGGCTCTGAGTCGCACATGCGCAGTGCGCTCTCCATCATACTGGGCACATCCTATCAAACAAAACGTGCACCAACTAAAGGGTTTACACCTAAATATGTGAACAGCACGTCTGATAAAATTACCAGAAAATAGTTTTTTTTTAAAGAAAGGTTTCAGAAAAAGTTATTCTACAAGGAGCGGGTCGCCCCCTGAAGGCGCCTATGTTGACATCACATGACCAGCTGTGTGTCCTGCCTATTCTGTTTTGGGTAAGTTACTCTAAAAAGTAATAAATGACTAGTTTCAACACAGTAATTATATTACTGTACTAATTACTGTCTCTAAAAAAGTATTGCATTACTTTCTAAATCACATATCAGCGTCCTCGACCAGTTGAACCATACAAGGATAGATATGAAAATGTTCTTTTAATTTTTTCAACAACACACACACACACACACACACACACACACACACACACACACACACACACACACACACACACACACACACACACACACACACACACACACACACACACACACACACACACACACACACACACACACACACACACACACACACATATATATATATATATATATATATATATATATATATATATATAAAATTGCACATACAGACCAAAATACATAAAGGAAGGTTACATTAAAATTAAATCCACTACTGTTTTATATAGAATTGTTTTATAGTCGTTTTTTTTTTAACAGTTTTTAATGCAATTACCTCAGAAGTAACTGTAATTAAATTACTGTAAAAAAATTAAGAGTAATCCTTTACTTTACTTTTCAAGGGAAAAGTAATTAATTAATTAGTAATGAGTCACACTTAACACTGCTAATAGCAGTACTATTACTACTTTATAACAGTTAGTGATCAAGGTGCTTTACAAAGCATAAACATAAAATAAAATTAAAAAAAAGCAAGCAAACCAAAAACATTACACAGAATTGCACCATGAAATGTTTCCATTCAACACTCAGATACAAATTTTGTAAACACATAAACATCAGAAAATGTGAAGAGAACAGAAAATGACTCTTTAGCAATATCTATAAAGATACCATTTTCAAACATGGAAATACTAAACTAAAATTGTAAAGACAATAAAACCTTTAGCCTTTTCAAACTACGGTAAATTCTTTATAATATCTGTTTATTAGTGGTGTTTGCATTTACTATTGTTCATAGTGTTCTGATAAAACTCCTAACTCCTAACTAATATTAAACTTGGTCACATTGCTTGTGTGTAATAAATGACATATGAAATCGTGTAGTGTGCTGAGGAGAGGGGTGTGCGAATGCTTTTCTCATCTATGAGACTCTCTCAAAAAATAACCACAAAAAAAGAAAAACTGATTTTAAGGAGCCAAATGGAGTGATAAGAATATCATAGTAACCACCCACATCATCATAGTAACGCTCTAGGGTCTGTTTATAAATGATTTAATGCTCCAGTTGTCCTAAAGCCCAGCCATATGCTACTTTAAATATTACCAGTGATCAGAATCATGTTATTCATTTCATTTTTACAAATACAGGACCTTTGGTAATCTCCTCTCAGTGATTTCAGAAATGACAGAGCATGTTCCACTGCTAAAATGAGTAGTATGAAGTATGATCACCATACATTTTCTCTCTTTAAATCAATCAAGCACTCACACATGGTTTATTTGAATCTTACACCGACATTTTATTATTCATTTCTCTGAATCTATTGATATAAGGTTGACCAATGACCATACATGCCAATCAAATCAGGACAGTCTCTGATTTGCTGCCTATAGTAGTTATTAGTTTTGCAAGTCAAGTTTAGTCACCTTTATTTATATAGCGCTTTTACAATGCAGATTGTTTCAAAGCAGCTTTACAGCGATATCAGGAAAATAATGCAACAGTTTGTTTTGGCTGAACAGCAGCTTTAGAAGAAAATAGTGTCATTGTCCAGCCTAAGTAAGTTCAGCATTGATTCATTTCCGTTACAAAAATCACTAGTTATTAATTTAGTTATTTACCACCATACAGTAGCTCTGGAGAAAACTGTGATGTCATCATCCAGTTCAGTTCAGTTCTCATCCAATTGTGTCAGTGCAGTCAAATCAATAATATTTTTGAATATTTGCACCTGAAATATCCTGTACAGTCAGACAGTGATCTACAAGCGAAAATGACCTAAACTGGACTCAAACCCAGGTCGTCTGCACATAAACACCACCATGAAATGATTAACTAGTCACCCTAATTGAAATCAGAGAAATACAGCATAAAGCTCGAGTATGAAAGTCTAAAATGTTGATAACGTGATTAATATATTCTATAATTTGTATTAAAAAGAAATTACAGGATGGAACAATGCGATTTAAAAACAGAGTAAAAAAGTGAAAAAAAGACTACATTAAGTGGCAAGGATTGGTTTTATGTGGTATGTTGTTCCCTTAAAGGACTCCAAGCAGTTTGAGAGCCACAGAGATGGAGAGCAGAATGACTCCTAACAGCCCGATGTACCCGTATGCACCACGCATCCTCTTAGCAGGATCTGAAACAGAGAAACAACACTGGTGATGAGGGATAAAACTCACATAATGCTTGAAAGAACCAGGGGTATTCAATTAAAGTTCCAAGAAGTTCAGACAATACTTCATTGAAACAGTAATACATTTCCATCAGGGCAGCCGCAGTACTTTGTAAAAGAAAAATTCCTAAACACTCAAAATAGTCAAAGATGAGAGTCTTGGGCCCGAGAACCAAAACATTGATGTCTAAGAATTTTTACCAATATTTACCCAAAAAAGTAATATTTCTCCCAACTGGATATGAATATAAAAATGTTAAATCAGATGTTTTATATTTATTTTTTACATTTAGACACCTACGTGTATGGCACACAGAAGCCCTTGGGACTGAGAAAACACAGGGGGTGCAGGTGGACCATTTTTATATTTTGCTCAAAGTAATAAACTAGCCTGACTTCGTCATACTCATATTCTAGTCAGAATGTGAGTCTGATACTGCTCCATAGGGCTTTGATTATGAGGCGTGTCTTAATCGAACCAGGAAAAAAAAAAAACTCTGCACTCAATTGGATAGACCTACAACCAATCAGGGCAACGCAGTAACTGACGTATGTTGAGCGACTCATATCAACAGAACTGAACTGCACTGCACGCACTCACGAAAAAGTATTTAAAAGAAAAATGAGTGTTAACGACCTTTGCCGGTGTTGCAAAAAGAATTTAAGGATTCGCAGAGTACTTGCAAACTTGAAAAACATTTTTGAACGAAATAGAAAATGTGAATGTATATACGAACAAGTTCTCCGTTTAGGATTAGATCTCGACAGTAAAGCCAACAAATCTACTCGCATTTGTCTGACCTGTCTCAATTTTATAACAGGGTTGGAGCGCGATTTGACTGATTTTAATAAATGGAGAGACGACGAAAGACACCAGGCTGAAGAAGCGTGTTCATTTGAGTCTTCAGAGAAATTATGTTTTAATGATTATTTAAATACAAAATGATGAGTAATTCTTGTACTTTGCCTTGTTTATTTGTTCTGTCTTGCGTGGTGTTTTGGACATGAGTCTGGCAAATAAACTGAATTGAGTAACATCATCTAATTATTTATATTTAAAAAATAAACCGCTCATAAGGGATTACCAGTATGGTGTGCGAGTACAGTATAACAAAGCGTCACCATTGTTTGATGTAGCGATGGCTTTGACATGAGTTGCATCGCCCTAGATGCCCATTTCGGTTGCTTCTTTTACTTGGTCCTCCATGAGTGCGACCAAAGGAGAAACAACAATGACAACAGGCTTTTCATTGCGTCCCATATTCTTAGCGACCATCGGAGCCAGCTGATAAATTAAACTTTTGCCGAATCCTGTAGGAAGGACGGCAAACACATCTTGACGATCGACAAATGCCTTTATTGCAGTTCTCTTTTCGTCTTTTAAAATTAATGCGCTGTCGATTTCTTTTACGACAGACGCGATAGCAGAATCTATACATCTCAATTCTCCAGCGGCAGTCATCTGTGAGGGAAACCAGTTCAACCCATGCGCTCTTTGATGACGTGAGGATTACGTAACTGCAGATCATCTGTCCATCATCGTATAAAGCCCGCCCTGGCAATTTGATTGGTCCGAACATTTTTTGACTGATCATAATTACTCCTCAATGGAGCGAGTCCAGACCGAACTTCCCGACCAAAAAATGTTGTGGGCGGGGTTCGGGCTGGCATCCAGGCTAGTAATAAACTACTAAAAAGAAACAACGTACATAATCTAATAATCAAAGCTCTCATCATGAACACAAAACAAAGTTAACTAGTAATTTCAAAGTTTTTTGTCTACCCTTGCTATCTCCAAATTATAACATTGTTTATTAATATACAGCTCTTAATATGCTGATTAATAATGCTAAATGTATAAGGGGGAAAAAACTAAATGTCTAAAGAAAGACATTGTCACAAACCTTTATTTAGTTAAACGGACGGAGTCTGTATGACAGATAAAAATAATTATATTTGTTGCATTCTCGTTTTATGCAGCGTTTTAGCAAAAGTACCTATTTTTCTGATCACCGTGTTTCTGCTACTGTTGTTAAATTAACCGCGTCATCTGCAGCTCTTAATGTGGCGCTTTATGTCTTTAACGGGAGAGAGAAGCAACACGCATTGAGCGGAAAGTGCTTAAATGAAGCGCGTTTGGCTCTAGATATAAAAATTTAGAGGATGTAGCGTCGGAAAATCATTACCATAAACGACCCTGAGTGCTTGTAGTGTGAACCGCTCCGTTGTTGTTTTGACGCCCTGCTCACTTTAAACTGTAAAAATGGTAAAATGCCGCCAGATGGAACCAAGTCACACTGAAAATATACTGGTGTACCCTCCAAAAAGTTTGCAGACACAGAATTCATTGTTTTGTGTAACAGTTTAACAAAAACACTTTTCTTCTAAATAGAAATTAGATTTATTTATGCTCTAACAGTCAGTTTTATTTAACTTTATTTTGGCATCTTGCAAACGTGTACAGCGATTCAAAATGCATGAATATACATGCCATTTAAATTTATAATTTAAAGCACAAATAAAAGCTATGCTTTTCACATTTGTACTCGGATTCAGAAACAGATGTGAATGTGCTTTTGCATTTGCGATAACTTCTGAGAATTGCTACAGGCTTCTATATGTACATTGTAAAGACTTACCACCCGTGTAGTAACCCCAGGCATAAGAGAATCTGCTCGTAATCCAGATGACTCCTAACACCGAGGCAACAAGCTGATATGGGAGATAAAACATGCAAGATAAACAGAAGTGAACTGGGTGAGAGGGTTTTAATATGAGAGAAGGAGAGAGCACATGAAAAAAGACTAAATTAACATATACTTAACAGAGATTTACAGTGCACTTTTTACACACTTCCTTCTGCTACACCCTTGATAAAGGTCAAGTGTTTTGATCAAAGGCACAATGATGATAGATTATATATAAACCCTTGTGGAGTTTAAACAAACAACATTTCAGTTGCAAGCCCATTTTAGTGTGAATTTGAATAGGCTACCTTCACTTTAAACTGGATTTTGAATTGGAATAGCAGGAAGAGGAATTTCCTGAATTACGATTAAAAGAAATTTTACACACAAAAAAATCTTTCAAAAAAACATGATTCATTTAGACTAATTCTGCCAAATTCTTCTCTGAAATGTACGTTTTTTGTATTGCTCCAAACTGGGTTCAATCCTGTCAACACAATAACCTCATCAAAACAGATTTAACAAAACGCCTACCAGATCAAAATTTGAGGTATTCCAGGGCATTCTGCAACATTAATGTTCTTCATAAATTCTTTAAAATGTATTAATGTATATATTTTTTAAATATCATGTCATGTTTCAGGAAATACCCCATGTGCTATATGATAACATTTTATTTGTATAAGTAATTTAAACTGAAGACATTAAATGCAATATTAAAAATGTATTTTGTATTAAGTTTATTAATATTAAGTATTAATATTAAGTTTCTTTGAATTACCATGAAATGACACACATCTCTGAACTCACCGGATACTCTAATGCAGCAATAGTCTGGAAGACCAGCCACTGTGGATACACCTCCAGTGTGTTCTGGTGCGCCCTCTGAATACAGTTGAAGACTGGGTCCTTGTCACTGTACATGTTGGGATACTGTACACAAAACACGAGCGCAGAAAAACACATTAAACCGTAGCCTCTGCCATAAAAAATGCATAAATCAGAAATCAACGTTACCTACGCATCAGTATAATTTCGACCAATCTATAGAATGCATTGCATGTGAAGCCTTATCGTACCTTTATCTCATACTTCTTTCTTGCAGCACCAACTTGTAGCCCGAGATAGGCTAACATGACAAAACTATATATATATGTAAAAATCGCATAGCCAAAGTTGCCCGGAAGCACGTTCTCAATCGTCATTTTCAAATGCAATAGTCAGGACCTGTCTCCTCAAGAACAAGATATTCTCCTTTAATTTGAAGTGGAAAAAAATGCTCTATCATGCAGCTCACGTAACCCTGAGTTATTTGTGTTAAAGGCGAGTGTAGAGAGCACCAGGTAAATCTCGCGATAAAACGCGAGCTCTCGAGAGACAATTTTATATAACGTTACTTATGAATTTATAAAAAAAACACTAACGTTATTATGAAAGTATTTCCTAATCTCAGTCTTAAATTACTCAAGTGTGATCAAATAAATACTTAAATGTGTTTTATGGATGTTTTCTTTACACTATTCTGAAAGAAGAATAAACCAAAATCTCACTAAATTAAAAATAAATAAAATAAAATAAAAATAAAAAATAAACAAAAACTTTATGATGTCTATGGATTTCCCAAGTGGTGCTTCTCGAATTTTCCAAATCCCCGATGACGTCAGTGGGTTTCGTTTGAATAAAAAAAAAACGGTCTCCTCTCTGCAGTCTGCACACGAGCCACTTCACGCTGAACCACTCGCGAGAAATCATCTACGGTTGATACAGCTATCAAGATCCTTTGTTTCGAGAAATTGCCCTTTCACTGAAAAGAACACATACGAGGGAATAAACATTTGTTTATTTCACAGCTTTTTGTGTTGGATTTCAAATCGTCTCAGTTTTGAACTCGCTCGAGGCGTATCGCGTGATACAACGTTAACGTTACCTAACGTAAAGCGTTTCCCTCATAGAGTCTTACTGTTGGATCAAGTCATTTTGACGGTAAGTTACAGCTAAATGTTGCTTATAGCATATCTATTTAATTTAATGCTATTTATTCAAAACACTTAAACAAAAAATCGTTATATATCTACAGTCCCCGCTGAATTAGCAATACGGTAACTACGTTAAATATTAAAAAGTGAACGGCTCATTATCGGAATAGATTGATTAATATATGGATTGTGACATTTGGATTCTGTCGAAGTGATGTTATATTAACGTTGGTTTTGAGTTTCGTACGGAATGTTCTAGAGATTCGAGATTGTGTAATTTGATTGACAGGAGGGGGCGGAGACATCACCTGACCTACTTTCAGTTCTAGAACATTCTCATTCGACGCTCATCATTACTGATTTCTTTATTGTTATAGTCGACAACTTTTATTAGAAAATGTATATAAAATATATGTCCTATATTATGATTTGAATAGCGTTATAAGTTTAACGAATATATATCAGCATACGACCCGGTTGATTAGTCACATTAAGACAATTATTTTGTATTATACGTTTTCTGAAGTAATTAAAGGGTCATGAAACCCCCCTCTATCAGCTCAAGTCTAGCTCATAATCTTTTTGAAAAATGCAACTTAAATGGGCGTGGATGGCTGTGAGAAGAAGGGAGGGAGTGGGTGTGGCACGGCAGGGGAGAGGGGGAACTGTCATCAGCCAGCAGTGTTCATCTGGCAAAATCGTATTTGTACAATAATTTTGACCTCTGTACAATGTACGATCAATAATGAACAATATCTCAGAGTTTTCAGTCGTTCGTCCAAACACACATCCTACCGCTTCTCTCTCTGACCCCGAATCATTTCGCAGGCTCGCCTGCCTGCACGTACACACACACACAACACGGTGTCGCCCGGCCCGCACGTCAACACTACACATTCACAAGTCTCCCGCATTAAGCAAACAATATATTATCGAAATATCTAAAATGTTCATAACGACCGCTTATTTAACAAAAGGCAAGTAAAATGACCAGTGTTACATTTTAGACACACACTCTGAAGGGATAGAAAAGTCCTCAGGACTTGGTACCGCATAACTCGCAAGACGTAACTTGCATTGGTCATCGACAAGGCCGAAGTCCACCATTCTCCAATTCTCAAAGCTCTCTCGGGTAAAATGTTTGCGGCACTTGCGTCCCATGATTGTCTCTCTCGTTTACTACGCGATATCACAGTTTGACATGTCTGTGGAAAGATCCACGTGGTGTCATGATTAATTAAGAGACCGTGTCTTCTCATAGGATATAAAAACTCAGTCTCATTAATAATTATGAGAGACCGATGAGTGATCAACGCACTACACTGTGCACTGCCACGTCACAGCCTGCGATGAAGATTTTTAACCCGGAAGACGAAAATAGCTGGAAAAAACTAAAATTTAACCATTTTCGCCCTACTATTAAATCTAACAGATGCTAACATTGTCTTCAATGTTGTTCAACACACATACCTCTGTTAACATCTCAGAAAATTTGCTTTAGGGTTTCATGACCCTTTAAGCATAAGGCATGTAGTAGTTTGCATACATTTCCAAAACAGAAATCTGAACATTAGATAAAGCCAGGTTCGCAATTCTTGGTTCATTTTGTTGAGTTTAATGGTTTTAGAGAGGCGATTTTGGAGATTTTATTTGTGTAATCTTTCTTTTTTTCTTTAGAGATTTAAATTTCTATCAAAAACAGCCAGAAAAAAATAACCTTAGTTTTTAGGAATAAATGCTGTATAAACCAGGCAAATTATATTTGAACAAACCACTCTGTAAAAACCTTCAGAATATATATATATAAATATATTGAATTAATTGATAATATATTGATAATAAATGAATTAACCCTGAATAGTTTGGTGCTACCTTTAATTGTGTATTGCAACCACTGATCTATATAATGAGATCTAATCATTCTATATAGATCAGTGATTGTAACTGAAATCTACAGACACAAATAGATGAGGTGAGAAAATAATCACTTAACTGTGTTTTTATTTTCACTTGTTATGGAAGAAAAATCAACCAAAATCTCACCAAAAGTGATCAGAATCATCCACTCTGCTGAGTAGTTTTCTACAAATGATCAGTTTTTTTTTTTTAGATTTACATCCATCAAGGTTCCCTCATCATAAAAACATGGAAAATGCAGGGAATTTAAAAATTGTGATTTCCAGGTTGGGAAAAAAACATGGTTCCAGGTGAACCAAATTCACATGCAGATTATGCAAAATAGAGCAATGGATGCATTCATCACTGAATGTGAACTGATTGATTTAACTGTTAGTTCATGAGTAACGTCTAATGCTTTGTGTTTGTAGGTTTGATCATGAAGCAGGAAGCCAGCCCACGGCGTGAGCGTGTGAAGTCCATCTTTGATCAGGAAGCTCCATCGGGTCGCAGCTCCTCCCGCTCCAGCATCAGCAGCGACAGTGACAGCTCGTACTCCAGCAGCAGAGGAAGCCGTTCCTCTCGCAGGTCACGGAGCTCATCCTCCGACAGTGACTCTTCCTCACGCTCCCGCTCCCGTTCCCGCTCCCGTTCCCGCTCTCATCCGCGCTGCTCGGGCCGTTCGCGCTGCCGCCACACACACCATTCTCCTCCTCGCCGCTACCGTGCTCGCTCTCGCTCATACAGCCCTACTCCCCAGGGTTCCTCCCGCAGACGCTACCATCGCCACAGTCCTTCTCCATCCCCCTACAGCTACTCCAGACGCTCCAGGCGTTCCCGGTCCCGCTCTCGCAGCCGTTCGCCAGTCTACTGGAGGGGAAGTAGGTTTGTGGGGCGGTACCGGTGCCGTTTCTCCCGCTCACCCAAGAACTCCAGAGCAAACAGAAGCCGGTCTCGCAGCCGTGAACGCTCTGCCATCCGCCTTAGCCTTGAGGGTAAGATCAGCTTCACATCTTTTTGGAATATGCTACATGGAAAACAAAAGCAGAATTAGAATATATTTAGCACCTGTTTTCCATACATAACAACTGTGTGACACTGTATGAGTCGTATGGATGACCTTTTAAAATAATAATGATTGTAATAATAATAATAATTATATATAATTTTTTTAAATGATTCTGTATACTTTTTAAATATTTTATATTTTGTATAATAGTAATAATAATTATATACATTTATAATCTGTTTATTTATTATCTGTTATATAATTTGTGTACCGGTATGTATGTATGTATATATATATATAAATTGGCATCCTAAAATCTCCCACAGAGAAGAAGTATCTGTTGGATGTCGCCAAAGCAAATGCTGCCAGGATTCTGGGAGTGCAGAACTTGGAGCTGCCAGCTAGTCTGAAGGAGGAGGAGAAGAGGAGATCTTCATCTGATAAAGAGGAAAGGTTGAGGACTGACCTGGCACCACTGAAGACTCTAGCACAGGTGAGCCACACACACACGACTGCAGACGTGTGACTAACACACACACAGTGTTTGTTAGAATTCTGTAATGTTGCATGAACGTCCCGAACGGAATTCCAGTAAGATTCTCATCTGTACTTTGTTAAATCTGATCTCGGGACATTGACTAACCCATTGAAACGCGTGTTTTTAAACTGTGATTGCGCGCTGTACTTACCCAACCTGGGTCACCATGTAATCTGTCTCCTCAGACATGAATGATTTTGCCTGATGGATTTAATGGAATGATGAACAGCTCATGTCCGGATTAGGTAACGGTACACGTTAAAGAGTATGTACTACTGTGCGCGTGAGTGTGTATGTATGTATGTGTGTGAATGAATGAGCTCATGGCTATTATTCCTCTCACTGTATTGAGGAGCTGCATTTAGCTTCAATTGCATTGTTTTTTTGTATCGTTTCTGTTCCTGTAGAGCTGAAACTCCTCCACCCTTTGGACAAAGAGGGAGAGAGGGGGAGGTCACATGACTTGAATGACACCAGCTTTAAGTCTTATATGCACAACTGCGAAGGTTAAGTAACCGTGTATGATGTCAGCGGTAGCCTTGTGTTGAACAAAAACAGACCACATGCATTATTGACCTCACATAGAGCTGAGCCACTTTCAGCCACCACACAACACAATGTACAAAAAGTTTGTGGTCAGTAGAATGTTTTTTTTTTTCTTCTTTGAAGAAATTAATACTTTTATTTAGCAAGGATGCATTAAATTGATCAGTAGTGACAGTAAAGACATTTATAATGTTACAAAAGATTTCTAACTCGAGTAAGTGGTGTTCTTTTGAACTTTCTATTCATCAAAGAATCTTGAAAAAATGCATCACCGTTTCCACAAAAATATTAAGCAGCACAACATTGATAACCAGAAATGTTTCTTGAGCACCTAATCATCACAGGAATAAATTACATTATAAAGTATATTAGGATAGAATGCAATTATTTTAAAATTGTAATATTTCGCAATATTACTATTTTTACTGTATTGTTTTATCAAAATAAAGAGACTTTTCAAAAACATGTAAAAAATCTTACCGACCCCAAACTTTTGAACAGAAGTGTACTTTACCGCTATTAGAACTACAGGAAATGACTTATTTGTTGATGGTTGAACTGGGTTGTCATTTTCCAGAATCTTCCTCTGTTCACTGTGCGTGAAGACCAGACAGAGCTCATTCTACGGTGATGGATGGGGGTTTGGAAATATATACTCTCATCATTTAATCATTTTTTGGCTTTGTTCATAAGCAGCAAAAATCAAAATTATTATGAATTTTTTACCAATTCAGAGCCGTTTAGTGGCTTGTATAATGCAAAAAAAGTGTAGTAATAAATCCATTTTTTTTTTACAAAGGCATCAATGTGTAAAATTTTACTTTTAGGTTTGATTAATTCATTAATTTTTATAAATTTATTTATTCACATGAAGTGTGAAAAACTGAACCACTTGAAACGCTGTGGATGCATGACTTTGTAAATCGTGATGCTGTAGGAGCATTAATTTTATTACTTGCAAAATGACAATGTGGATTTATGAAACATTCATTGGAAATGGGTGCAGTGTGAACAAAGCCTTGTGTATAGATTACAATTTTTGCTTTTAAAAATGCTATTGAAAATGTAAACGGGTATTACGCCATGATGAATGGTGTTTTTGATGTCAGACTGATTAGAAGGGCAGCACTGGCATTACAGTCTCTTCAGTTTGCTGCTTTTGCATGACTTGAGCCCAGGGTGAGGGCGTCTCATTTAGAACTGAAAACTGAAGTGAGGTTTATATCAAGACGACAGTGTGGTCAATATCCTTTTCCCTTTTTCTTTGCCTTTAGGTAAACGGTGTTACCACTGATGATGGTGAGGCAGGGACTTCTCAGACATCACCCAAGACGAAGCCAATTACCTTCAGCCTCAATGTAAGTTCATGAAACCTTAGACAAAAATGATGATTGTTAGAACATACTGGAATATTGAAGTTGATCATACCTCTATATTCACAGAATGCAATTGCCAAACCTTCAAACAGCCCTACGCTTCATGACAGTAAGGTAACATCAAGAGCCGACAGTGTGGCGGACAGGAAGCCATATGGACACTGGGTCCCCTTTGGCAAATACTCTTCTAAAAATAATAAACACTGAGATTCAACAGTGGTGTAAAAAGACTGTAACTATTGTAAATAGTTTATGTAGTGAACACTTGGGTTGGGGTGGATAAGTTGGGACTCATAAATTCATCATAAATATTTTCTTTCAGATATAAAGTTGGTTTTATTGGAAGAAGGCAAGATGTCAAACAGGTGGGAAATATTGTGTACATATTGGTGTTTTTGTGTTGTACCGTGGCTGTTTCTGAATAAAGAATGCAAAAAAAATTCCTGTTGTGCACTTTTTTTTGTTCGTTTTTCTCCAGAAATTGTAATCAATTTTACATTAGGTTATAAATGACTTTCCAATTTAGTTGAAAGTTACAGTTCAAAAACAATATACTCCTGACATGTAAAGTGGAGATGGATTTTGGCCTGACATAAATACCCATATATCTCTAAAGGACAAACCACTAGATTAATATCACCTGGTACAGTATTTACTGAATTGCTCACTTGCTTTTAGCACAAAGTTTAGATCCATAATATAGATAAATGCAGGGTAAGTGACTTGTCTGGAGTCATTTTACACCAAAATTTAAGTATGTATTATACATGATTTATTTATAAGAACATGAAGGCTATTGTTAGGCTTGATAATAATAATTCATTACATTTATATAGTGCTTTTCTAGGCACTCAAAGCGCTTCACATGGAAGGGGGATCTGCTCAACCACCACCAATGTGCAGCCTCCACCTGGATGATGCGACGGCAGCCATAGTGCGCCAGAACGCCCACCACACACCAGCTTACTGGTGGAGAGGAGACAGAGTGATGAAGCCAATCAGTGTATATATATATATATATGGGGATGAATAGATATTGATTTCAAGCACATTTCGAATGACACATTTATTTTCTAAATTGTCAAAAATATTCTGGTGTGAAATGTGACCTGTACATATTTTCGTAGATTAACTCCCAGTTAAACATTCGTAGTATCTTCATGTTTGCAAAGATGAAGAGGGTATTTTGCTGGAAGAGAATGAGATCTAATCCATGAAAACAACCTGATCTTCATGTTCTGAACTCTGGGTGGCGCTGTTGCACTTGCACAGTAGTTGTTGTTGAGGCCTATGCAGAGCAGACATCGAAACATTGAGTAAGTTTTCCCCCAATATATTTTACAGTAGTCATTACAAATCAGAATAATATTACATAATTGCTCATGAAATACGAGTAAAACAATGTTAGACTGTTCCCACACACACACACACACACACACAAATCAGTAGCCAACGATAGCTAAACATACATGACAGAAAACTAAATGACAAAAGCAAGTTGTTTGAGCATCCCAACTAGAGCAACAGCAACTTTCGGCACAATTAAAACAATCACCGCTTGGTGACACTAATAGCACAGAAAACAGCGGCCTGTTGTTTTTATCCTTAAACTGACAAATCAAGTCGTTCAATCAAACTGTCATTTGCTGGCACAGAAAGAGCAGCATTTGATGTGTGCCGACATGTTGTCTGTCTCGAGACCGAGGAATAGTTCTTCTCAACACAGTTAATGAGTTGGAATGTTCTCTCGCTCATTCCCACCCACACTCTTCCCTCCGGTGATTGGTGGTTTTAATTAACGATTTTAGTCTGATAAATTGCGGTGTAAGACGACTTCTGTACATGATCCAGTAGTTGTATTCAGCACACAGTGTCTACAGAGAAGCTTGGTTTGGCACGGGCAAGTCACGGTCTCTGTAGGCCTGTGTGTTTTAGCCTGTTCTCGAAACGCCTATTGTTGTGCTGCTCTTTTCAACATGTTCACTCTTGACAATCATCACCTCTGAAGACGACCTGATGATTTTTGTGCAATTGCTTGAACGAAGGAGGGAGGATTGTACATACCACACACCTTTTATGCCTAAACTGATGGTGATAAAAAGGTTTAGTTATTACCTCCACTCCACGTCTCTTCTGTTCCCTATAGATGTGGTTTATATATGAGCACGTCTGTTTACTCTCCATCCTAATGCAGAGAATATAAAACATTTCATAAACTCACTGGGCTGGCGGTGATTATGTGACATTTGTTTGTGCACGAATAAATTAAAGTCAGTGTTGTGCAACTCACCACAGAATCTGATGAAGCATGTTTTGGAGCACAAGAAGAGACAGTATCTGAAGGATCTGTGTCTTGTTTTTGCTGTGTGCTGATAAGATCGGAATGAAGCATCTCAGACATTCACTGACACACGGCGTTCCACAGGTGTCTAGCTAATATATATGCAAATGCAAGAAGAAAACAGACTAGTTGGGAATACTTGAAATCGTTGCAAGCAGATTTATCACATGAGAACTGTGAATTTACATTTGAAGTCAACGTGGAGTCAAAATCAACACTTTTTTACTTTAGTTAAATCACTTTAATGCTCTTTATTGTGCATGATTCATCAGTGCACATTGTTCTAATCTAAAGTTATTTCCAAATGCTGAAATGACTTTTCAGAAGTCGCCAAACCCTCTTCATTTCAATCCCTTCCAACCACCTGAATGAATTCTTTTGTAAGGACCACTTTTCCCAATCCAATCAATTCCCGAAGGATACAATCAAGTCCTGAACTTTTTTAATGTCCTGTTTCACTTGTAAACACATTGTATCATAAAAGTAAAGTGGTCAGAAATGTGAACTCATTTCAGACTTAATACATTACAGTATTAAATTAAACATATATAGTTTTGGGATGCACAATATATCAGTATCACATTGTTTATTGAGCAATCTGTTTATTATTATTATATATTGCACTATTTATTTAATTGTAATTGTAAATGCTCATTTCCTCTATTTATATATTTAGATTATCTTTGCCATCCGTTTGGGATCGTCGGTAAGAGTCTTTAATGGTTTTGAAAGATTTGCTCACCAAGGCTGCATTTTTTTAAAAATAAAAAATGCAGTAAAAACAGTAATATTGTGAAATATTACAATTTAAAATAACTACTTTCTATTTAAATATATTTAACTAATAATTTAACACCGTTAAATGTAATTGTTTTGTGTTGAACATAAAATTAGCTTTTATCGGAATTACCCATAATTTTAATAACGTTAATGCTAGTTTCTTTGTGTTAAATTCTTTCTCTTTTTTTTATAAACACTTCCTTACATATAAACACTTTTTTATAAACACACACACCCTATACTGGTTTAAACTCTCTTCACATCCTGATAGCAATCAATAATAGACGTGGTCTAAATTTTTTTTTACATCTTCTGTGGACGTCTCAGGATTAAAAAAAGAAATGTTCGTCCAATCATTGCATTTGGTACGAATACAATGATATGATGGCCTACTTGCCTGTCAACATATGCATTTCCATACCTCTGCTCACACAGACATCACACGTCATCAGCGTGTTGTAGACAGTCACCGAGCGCCACAAACAAACAGCAGTCATCTTTCACAGTTCCTCCTGAACCAAAACAACCAGCTTATGCTGTGTTCACACCACGTCCTAACCGTAATTACGAGATGGCAACCCGTGACGTTCTGCCCCGGAGCTGTTCACGTCCTCAGACTCACATTTATGCGTTTCGCTCAACGCCATCAATGCCCATATGAATCTGCAGCAGTCAGGTGTTACAAGTACCTCTGTAAGTTGTTATTATTGTAATATTATTGTAATGTTATGTGCTACTGCTTTGAGACATGAGGTAGTTTAACGTCACCTCTCTCGTGATGCTTTCACGCGTTCAGGGAAGGTGGGATCTCATGCTTTCAACAGGTATTGCTAGCCTCTCTGAAATTGTCTACCCTACCTTTAAGACATTTTAAATCAGCGATATGGTGTATTTCTGAGTGAAACATGATCAATGACATGGGGTAAGGAGGGACTTGATGTCCTTCAGGAATTGATTAGATCATGTAAAGCAGTCTCTATCAATACATGATGATCAACCAAACAGATCAAGGTGTGAATTCACCACAGTGTTTATGAAAATCACTTATTTATAGATGTCCCTGTATATTAAGCTGTTATAGGAAAAGTACTTTAACATGAAAACAAATACACAGTTTAAAATTAAAGGCCATTTTCAGAGCGGCTTTCAATAGCAAGCTAGCTTTGAGAGCATGAGATCCCACCCTTCAGAGCGTCTCCAAAGCCATGCCTCCTTCAAAACACATATACAGCCGTTTGAAAAGTGTCACAAGAGGCGCCGTTAAACTACCTCATGTCTCAAAGCACATAACATTACAATACTGAACGTAAACAACTTAAAGAGCTCTGACCAGTACCACCTGACTGTTGCAGCTTCATTTCGGTGTTGATAGTGTTGCCATTAAAATGCATAAATTCGAGTCACAAACCGCAGAGTATAACGTCACGGGTTTCCATCTCTTACAGATTACATTAGTTCTGGCGTGAATCAGCATAAGCTGGTTGTTTTGTTTCAGGAGGAACTGTAAAAGGCGGCTGCTGTTTGTTTGCGGCTCTCGGTGACTGACGTCTGTCTAAAGGGCCGCTCACACCAAGGACTATATATATAAAGATAACGATAAAGATATAGTTCTAAAAAAATTACCTCAGGTATCATAAAGGTATCTTCAACTAGCATAACAAAAAATGTTTGTGGAACAAATCGCCTACCCTGCCTTAAGACAAAACTGCATGCATTTTGCGAAAGAACATGACTGGGGATGAATATATGGTTCTTCGCACCTGCGAACATATGTAAATCCAAAAATTATGTGATCTGAGCTTGTAAAATAAATACAATATATTATGCTGTTGTTTTGACTAATTGGAAACACCAATATTTTTAAAGTAATGACGTTACAAAAGTTATCATAATGATTGCCAGTCTGATATGGTCAAACATTGCAATTTTTTATAACTGATATTCTGGCCAAATTTACCACTAATCCACCAGTGGTCAACATAATTTCAAGACTCACCTACACTAAAGGATTTAGTTCTATAAACTATACCCATTAATAGACACAGAAGGCTACCTGAAAATAAATTCCAACAATAAATTCCATTAATAAATTTATGAACGACCCTTAACAATAGACAATGCTTTACAATGAACTCTAGAGAGCTACATATGGCAATTTATGCGTTTAATAAAAACTATATTTATGGATATGATGACTGACAAGACACTCATGGACAAGTTATGCAATTTCCCTGCAAAAACCATCCCGAAAGGTCTCAAATATAAACACTTATAATAAGCTTACCATAGTGAATGAGGGTAAAACAAAAACACGTTTTGGAAGAAGGAT